TTGATCCATCCAAACGACCCCGAGATCGTGTTTTCATAACAACCCTACCTCAATGGCTTGAATATGATCTGAAATGATAAAGCTCGTATATGGCTTCACACCGGTCGTTTCTGACATCGGCTCCGACGCTGTTGGCACAGTATTGGTACATGAGCTGACCAGCAGACACGAGAAACCGCCTGCTCTCGATCGTCATCTGAAACCCCATCAACAACACACTGGACTCGATAGTAGACTTGTGGCGCTGCACATGAACTCTTTGTATCTCGACGACGGGTCGTTGAGATAGTTACCCGACTTAAGCTCCCGCCTGAACCACTGTATGCAGTTGGCTACCGCATCGTTCGTCCCAGCTGGGTTGTACTTGCATGTCTCCGTTGCAATGATGCGGAGGAAGTCATGCAAATTCAAGTCTGTATATCAGTATATGCAGATGAGTTTCTCTCTTAGTAGTACATCAGTGAGAAAGAGAGATGATAGATGGGATCATAGATATACGCACGTGCTGGTATTAAGCAGAGTTTAGGGGGAAGTGGAGTCCATATCGAAATGCAGATTCCGTTGATTGGCTCGCGCGTAACATGTCGAGATGTCTTTGTAATTTTCTGTACGGCATGGTTGCTGAAATGCAATGGATTAGATTAGACGTACGCAAACCGAAGAGAACAGGGGGCGCGCTAACTAAGCAACAGGGAAAATGTGTTGGAATTTGTTCCAACCAAAGTTCCAATGGACCGGTACCATTGCATATTTGGTTATGACCAAGGTTGTCAACCCGCGGGTTGACCCGGACCCGGTTGAGCTAGTGGGTCAAGGGTTAATGGGTCACCCGTTTTAGCCCGGTTTAGCCCGGAAATATGGAAAGTGTCATTATATTGTACTTATCCTGATAAATTACATCAAATCTCCTCTAACATATGAGTTATAACATATAATATTACACCAAAATAACATTTCGTACTTAGATTCAACATATAGTGAAAATTCACACACACTTATATAACATTAATAATCAAATGTTCAACTTAGGATTCCAAAGATTGAGTTAGGCGAAAAGAAAAATCGGAAAATAGGCGCATTTCGCAAAACAAAGAAAAAAATGGCACAATTTGACCTCCAACCCGGTACCTTATAGCGGTCGACCCGACGGGTGCGTACGACCCGTTTTTTTCACCGGGTTAGGGTCAAAGTGGGTCAACCCGCGGGTCGACCCGCGGGTTGACAACCTTGGTTACGACAATTTTTCACCAGAGGATACGTGAAAAGAATGCTGAATGTTTCAACAAAGGACATGTCCCTTGATTTTGGACAGTTTCCTTGTATGTATTAATAGAAATTAGGAAAGTTTCAATTTAAAATGCATTGGCCATTAATTGCATGGAATTGGCAACGTGCCTGCGAAATGTTTCAAATGAAACATTGGCCATATCCATTTCCACCACAAGGCAACGTTCGCTCCATATGAAATAGTGCCATGTATTCTTTTCTTTCCCATGTGATGACTAGATTTGGGCCCGCCCGTTGGCCAGATGAATTTTGTTAATTGTACAGACAAACATTGTAATTGTTGGAAGAAAGACATGTCTTATTTCATATCATAAAAATTTTCAAATCATTAAGTTTTGAAAAATCATACTGGTATAATTTTCAACATGCTAAATCGATGTATTGACTAAAGTCATTACTGAAAGTAAAAACAAAAGTCATGCATTATTGCAAAATTTATTTTTGATTTCTTGTGATTGTTGTCTTTGCCCTCTAAAGACCGTCATCTCCACCAATTATAATGCATTTGTCTTCCTTAATGAAACTTGTATCTTCAAAATAGGTTGTTCATATTTTTTCATAATAAGTCAATCATCAATAGTAAAATATTTAACACACTAAACATTACATGCAGTAGAATTTACGTCTCATGAACATTTTATGAGATTTTTTTCTTTCCCCAATGCAAACAACCCAGCGACCAAAATTAAAAATTTGATGATTTGTAGATTGAAAACTTAATAAATAATTTATAGACGTTGACTATTCTCCAATAAATACGTTTATTTTTTCTTATATATCTGTAGCTTTTTTCCCCAGTTTTTAAAAATGGCTTTGGAAAGTTTAGTGGTTGACAATGAAAATAATTTAACTTGCCATGAATGCTATTTTCTATCTGTGGTGGTTTTATTTTTAATTTGTAAATCATGAATTAGGTGGGGAGTATCATGATCATTCTAAGTTGACTTTAGGAAGATTGGAAGTTTAGTCAAAGTCCAGTAAGTAAGGTAAGACTCGCTTTCATAACAATCTAACAAAAATTGATGATGGTGGATAATACGATTAGGAATTGGCGCATAGATCGGGTACCATTTTAGAAGAATTGATAGTTCATGGGATGCTATTATATATGATGATAGACAAACATACTTTTTAATTCCAAATATGTCAAAATGTATATCTTTTTGTTAGTATAATTAATTTGATTTTTAGTTAAATGGATACACTAAAATACCGCTGATAATAATAATAATCTCAATAAATGTATAGAGATGAATTTTACAATACCTCATACAGTTATACTATTGTTGCTTTCATTTAAAATAAAAATATTTATGATATGAATTGAACTTATATAATTAACGCTATAATCAAGTTCATTTTGTGTCTATAATTTTTTGTACTACAATTTATATTACAAACTGAACTTGAACCTTTAATATTATGTAACAAATTTAGTTGTACCTATATTTTTCATACATATTCATTTATGATACAAATTGAACGCATAACTTTAACATTATGGTACAGTTTGTAGCTATATAATTTCGTACAAATTACTTTATAATACAAATTGAATTTATACTTTAACATTGTGGTACACATTCAAGTTGTAGCTGCAAACACCAATAATATGAAGTATATATAAAATATTAATTAAAAGAAAATGTTTTTTTTTAGTTTGGCGAGAATGGACATTGGAATTACATGCACAATTAATAAATTAATTATAAGGAAAGGTTCTTTTTTTTAGTTTGGCGAGAATGAACATTGGACTTACATGCATCATTCCAGCTCCACAATTTCGCAGTCTAGGCCCACTTTTTTGCATTTATTTACAGCGAATATAAGTTAGATTAATTTTACAAAAACAACCCTCCGTTCTCTGCGCTGGGAGGAGGAAAAGTGGAACTATTGGGGTTTTGGAGGAGAACCTCCATAATGTAATGAAAAGGATGCAATTTTCTGGAGCCGACTTTTGGATGGCAGTTAAGCCAAAAACGTATTCCAATGGATTGCAATGTTTGGGGATGTACTGGCCAATTACGAAGGGTTGCAATTCTTTGAGGCCCACTTTTCCCACTATAAATAGAGTGGCTTGGATGTGATCATAGCAACTCGTAGTCTAGCAGGCTTAGTTGTTATTTCTAGTTTACGTTTTATTATTATGTTATGGATTTGGGCTTGTTCGGCTAGTATTATGTTGCAGGTTTGGGCCTAGTACGTAAAGTATGAGGAGTTGGACTTCTTAAGGGTGGCGGATCAAATTAGGGGTAGAGGCCGAGTGGTCTAGTCGGGTATTAGGGTTTTTACCCTTCAAATATGTATGTTCGATGTTAGTACCGGTTATCAAAATTTAAAAGAAAAGGTCTTTCGACTCCAAAGTCATTCTCTCGCTTGTGAGTTACAAGTAAACCCTAACTCGGGGAAACGAGTTGCTATCAATTGGTATCAGAGCATGGCTTGCGACCTCAAATTGCTTGTTGCGCGGTGGCACAACGAACCACCTTTGCCTGTCAAGAGATGGGAGCACGAATGGGTGCTTTGGAGCAGCTGCTGGCGGGGTTTATCCCCGAGACCCAACGCGATGCCGGTGACGGTGGATAGCGGAGCGACGACGAAGCAGCGAACGTTCGACGCCAACGAATCCCAGGCAAACCAGGTGGCTGAGATATCTCTCGCCGCAATGACATAACTGTACGGCCCGAAAACCCTAAGATTCCAGGATCGCGTCGCAGGAGTGGAAGCGAATGTTTTGGGTCGACAGTGGGTCGACCCACAACTTCGTGTCGGAGACAAAGGCAGAAGAGATGCGGTTGCAGGTGGAGTCGATTGCACCGTTTGTCGTTAAGGTAGCCAACGACGAACCCATGACCTGCCGAAGTAAGTGCGACAACGTGACCCTACACATGCAAGGATCGACAATAACAATATCGTTGTTCATCTTACCGATTCGCGGACTTTATATGGTTTAGGGAGTTCAATGGTTGGAGGAACTGGGCCCAGTAACTTGTGATTGGCAGACGTTGTATATGAAATTTAAATGGAGAGACAAGGATTATTGTTCACAAGGAATTGTCGCAGGCAGTGGTGGACCCAGAAAATTGGCCAAGAGGGTGTCTTTTCATATAATAAAAAAGTAAACTACATAATAAAAAAGTCAATTGCAACACCCCGACCTTTGGGTTCAGGTTCGACCCAAAATATGTGAACAGTTGGATTAAATTTAGATACGAGAACCCAAACCAAAAGAATGTTGAAACGGATCATGATTGGGCCAAACCTTTATCTCGTAACTCAACCCATCAATGTGTTTCCACCACAATATTAAAAGGTTTAATTGGGGGCCATTATAGTGCCTCTCCTCAAGTCGTTTAGTTGTGGCTAATTAGGGCACCTTCGTTACACCTAGCTAGAGGGCTAGAGGGAGAGACCATTTTATGCAACTGTCGAGTGGTTGGGAAGATGTAAGGGGTATAAGTTCTTTTAATTAACCAATAAATTGCTATTAGCTAAGGATCATGTTTATTTCTCCGTGGGGAAACCAAACGTAGAGAGAGCTGTAGAGGATGCAAATCAACAATTGGCATCTGGCCGGGCTACAAGAACAAGGGATTTGGAGTTGCGGTCGGTTAATGGCTATGGCAAGGGTGATCGAGGATGACCTACGTCGAGTTGCTGAATCGTTTAGGCAGGAGTAAGAAATAGGAGGCGGCCTGCAACGTGGAGATGGTCTAGCCGATCGAGGTTAGCTGAGATTGAGATGGGGTTGGATGCCTTTGTGGGTCTTTGTTTGATGCTATGAGAAAGCACGACATCGCTGTGGGGAGAAGCATGATGAGAAGGCATGGGAGCAACGGGCAGCGAGATTGACGAGAGAAGGAGATAGTCCTGGAAGTTGGCGGTGGTTGTGGATCCTCAATGGCGATGACGTGAGGAGCGGCTGTTGGGGACAGTGCCGAGGACAGAGGTCCTAGAGCTGAGACTTGCGAGAAAGAATCGAGCCTCATCTCTTAAAACAGGTGGGTATAAAGGTAATTGTGGCTCACTCTCTCGCATTACTAATGATGTTGATGTTACGGTGCCATCAAGCTGTATTTTGGACTTAGGGATTTGGGTTGCATGATTAAAGGAGGAGACCAGTAGCATGGATTGGATTTATATATTTATTGGGAAAGGAATTGACGGAATGAACGAATGGATTAGTAAGTAGATAGAGGACGAAATTGTGTGATGAGAGTTCTGTATGATTGGTTACTTTTCGAGGGTTGATCGAGGGAGTGGAGAATGAATTGAATTAATATTAATTTTCCACGAGGAAGGGAATTTGTTAGAAGTTACTAATGGAATTAACAATTGGAACGAGGATGATGAGATGTGAGTGGGGGACATAAGGGTTAGAGTTGAGCATAACTTTATTTAATGGTCAATGTGTAATGGCATATCAATTGGTGGGCTAGAGGATCTCGACCTTAATAGTCCTTTTTTTAACTTGGCATGTCAAGTGGTCGGAGCACGCGTACGAGATTCAAAGGCAACAAGTTCACCTTAGAGCAACTATCAACTGGTTAGATCAAGCTTTTCGACTTGATCGATGAGGTGAGTGTAAAGGGGGTAAAATCTCGGTCGTAGGTCTTTAATTTATGCTTTTATTTTCAGTAATGTTGGTTAATTTTATAAGTATGTGCGATTATGTGTGGAGGCATCCCACCGCCTACTTAAGGTGGAGGCACGCGTTGTGCTATGTATGTGAATGTGTATGGTTGTTGGTAATTGAACCCCCGGGCGGTTGGGCCACTACTGGACGCGGTAGATGGTCGGGTCACTACTGGACGACGATACATAACGCAGTAGTTGACCGGGCATGGACTGGACGGTGATACGTAATGCAGTACCATTGCCTTGAGGATAGGGATACCGGACGGCGATACGTAACACAGTGATTCCCTAGTGTTATGTGATTAAGTCAGGATAGAAGTAAATAACTTCTATAAGATAAATTTGTAGTAAGGATATTCTATAAGCTTTTGAGTAATAAAGTTGAGGGATGAAAGCGAGAACGACTTTCGTCTAAGGAAAGACAACACTAATAACGTGTTTTAGTAAGGAGTTTGCTTAGGAAAGGACCTTAGGAAGTAACAACGAGACTGACCCCTTCTCTCTCACCAGGTCAAGGAAGGGTTTGCGGGAGTGGATCATGAGAAGAAGCAGGGCGAGGCGAGCAGCCATACCAGCAATGACAACATATCAGGAGGCTCGTGAGGAGTCAAAATAGAATAGTTAAATTTTATTGTTTCATGGTTATTAGTATAAACTGTAGATTGTGCGTTAAGTTGTTTCTAGTGTTTGAGATTGAGATTTTGCCCAGGTGTTGAGCCTTTTTGTTTAAAATTCTTAAATAATGTCAGTTTGTTTATTTTAAAATGTGCTTTGGGTTGCTCCGGAGTAACCGGTTTTTGGTTTGAGTTATGGTTTGGTTTTCAAAAAAGGTCGGGTTGTTTCATCAATTATGAAAGAAATAAAGGTCAATAACATAATATCCAAGATTCGTACAATTACTCCCATAAAAAAAGATTCGTACAATTACACAATACTAGTTCTATGCACATCGCGTATAAGGAACCGCGACGAGATTTCAAATTCAGAAAGTATTGTAGAACACCTTACTTGTCTAAACTAGCATACAAATCTTTTTCAATCCATGTCATCAATGAATTGTTCAGCCACTAACCGTTCAACTGATTTTGAACATCGTTCTTGATATATTTTATGGAAGAAAATTATCTCTTCACACTTGTTGTGGCATAGGCAGAATACGTGTAAACTTGATAAGTACACTTGATAAGAAAATAAACAGATGATACAATTTGTGCTTATTTGATTCCACCATTTTTTGTTTGCTAACTCATCCCTTGTAACCAATAAACTTCATAAGATTTGGAGGGAACTAGTAGGGGTAGAAAGTAATAAGGTGAATGAGTTTCTTCTTGTCGAACGCAACAAATGAATTCTATAGATTTAAGCAACTCATAAATAACAAAAATCGATAATCGACCTCATCAAAACGGTAATTAATTGTGGGATGCAAATTGTTTACATGAGGTCTCAAGACAATTTACTATTAGAAATAATAAAGAATGTGACTTGTATCACAGAACTTACCTAACGGGTAGGGATGACTATTTCGACCTGACTTATTTTATCCGACCTGTTTGGCCTGTTTTGAGGCCCCGTAGGCTGGGCGGGGCGGGAATGAGTACCTCTCATCGACCCGACCTGACCTTACCTGTCCCGCCACATTCTTGACCCGTTCTTGCCTAAATTACATTTAATTTTAGTAAAATTACCTATGATTTTCCTTTTATTACTTCATATGTTAGCTATAATAAAGTTGTAAATTAATTAAAACCTCAATTTATCTAATAATTTAACTACATTTATCATATTATGGTTTGCTTCTTGGTCTCATAATGAAAATACAGAGTAATTCTAATGTTTTTCATAAAAATTACATACTCATTAGGACCTGTCCGACCCGTCCCCATTCTCATTCCTACTAACGAGAATGGAAGTAGATACCTAGAGAGAGAAATTAGATATGAGAGAGAGCGACGAACCAAGAAGCAAACCATACTATGATAAATGTAGGGATTCCACCAAGAAATGGAGGGATCCGAGTTTTAGAGAAAGAAAGTAGATACCTAGAGAGAGAGCGACGAACCAAAGTCTCCAAGCGCCCTAGATCGATCTTCATAACCATTGGAGCTTAGCTAAAGCTCGGAGAAATGTAGGTTGATTACCAGAAGCAGATTCTCATCCTTCACAACATGATTTCTGCATCTGATCAAGAACCCTAGATTTGTATGTTAGGTATGGTTGTATGAATCCAAGTACGAATTCTTTGATACTGATTATATTCAATTGAGGCATGGTTTTCTGAATTGCATGAATCCTGATCAAATTCCTGTTATTCCTGCTTTGACCTAGAACGAGAATATCTGCCTAGGTTGATAGAGCACCCTTGATTGAAGGTAGTGAATTGACGACTTTAGTCGAGGAGTCGATTCACTATTTTGTACTGGATTTATTCCAGTAGAGTAGGTTTGGTATGTTAGGGCCTCAGTCTGGTTATTCCGGTGGAGGTTAGTCGCCCACTGGGGACTCAGATTGAGAGGGTCTGGAGACCTTTAGTCGAAACTGCAGACTATCTAAGAACCTCCTGTAGTATAATTATCATTGAATCTGAACTTGGCAAACTACAACTTTGGCTTAATTGCAGTATAGGGGGAACCATATCTGGGTGACCTCTCTCGAACTTGGAAAACAACATTTACTGCTTTTGCTTGCTAGTTTAGTTGGAACTTCACTACAGGTTAACCGCTAAATAATAAGAATCTCACGGAGTAGTCATCACACCTAGGACCCAGGTTGACATTTAGAACTAAACCCGCTATACTACGCATTAGCAGGTGGTTACACTTGGCCACTTTCTAGTGTGACGGTACAAGCTAGTCAAGTTTTTGGCACCGTTGCCGGGGACGGCTAGGTTGTTGAAGAAACGTGATTTCTGTTACTTTATCATTTCTTTTCCGCTTTGTTTGTTTTGCTTTGTCCCCTTGTGCCTTCACGGGTTTTCTTGCTTGGGTTGTGCGCAGGTAGTGTATGACCCGTAGCCAGTCGGGAGACTTACTACCGTTAGACTCGGAGCTAGAACGCACTTGTCGCCAGCTTAGGAGACAACAACGATCAAGAGTGGGTATGAAGGAAGTGCATGTCGACGACCATTTGAGCAGCGACTCTGAAGAGGAATACAAGATGGGCGACGAGCACAACAGGGGGAACCTGAACCTGGGGCAGAACCAACCCCTGGGGATGCCCATGCTGGTCCCCCCAGTGAATCAGGTCCTGGCAAATAACCCAGTTCCCCAGCCAGATGGGGCTCTGATAGCCCGTTAGTTACACATGTTTTCACCCCTGTTCTTACACCGTTTGAGATGTGGTTTCTCGTGTTTTAGACCGATTTCACGCTAGGTTGTGCTTGTTTGTGATATTTCAGGTCCTGGCAAGTGAATGAAGGTTTAGGAGCGAGTTCGGGGTCGATTGGGCGAAGATCGGGCACGAGACAAGTCGCAAAGGAGGTCACACGGGCTACCCTGATGTTCACACGGCCGTGCGAGAGGCCAGTCTGGCCGTGTGACATTCTGCGAGAGCAGACACGGGCAGAGCAGCAGATTGACACGGCCGTGCAAGTGGCCGGGTTGGCCGTGCCACATTCGCCGAGAGCAGACACGGGCAGAAGGAAGTCACACACGGCCGTGCCACTCTGGCCGTGCAAAGAGCCTGGAATTCGAACTAATTGGAACGCATCATTTTGACTCACACGGGCAACTAGGTAGGCCACACGGCCGTGCCACCCTGCCCGTGTGAGTCGGGATTTCCTGGTTTTAAGCCAAATTCCGAACCAAAGAAGAGGAGGGCTGGGTTTTTGGATCCCAAACACCCAAGGGACGAACCAAAGAGAGAGAGGGGGATTTGAGGGCATTCTTGGAGTGGAGTTGGAGGATTTCTTCTCCTTGGAAGCTCAAGGAACAAGCCCAGACTTGAAGACTGATCATCTGAAGATTCTTACTGGAGTCTCTCTCTTCTCTATGGAGTAACTTCCCTTCACTTAGGTTTTGAGGAACCCTAGCTATGTTTGTTTGATTGGATGATTGTATGAGTACTCTGACTGGATAATCTTGAGTTCATATTCAATCTATGCATGTTTTCATGATTCAATTCTGCTTTAGTCGAGATTATTGATTCTGCTTTGATTCTATGAGAGGGAATACCTGATTAGGTCAATAGAGCACCATAGATTGATAGTAGTGGATCGATTGCTTTAGTCGAGGGTTGATTCACTGCTTTGCATCGATTGAGAACCTCTTTTGATAGAGGGAGTCTAGTGCAGAACGCCTTGATCAGTTGTTCTAGAGAAGGATACGTCCCTCTAGGCAATTGACTCAAGAGG